AGACACATCATAATTAAAATGCCAAGAGCAAAGAACAAAGAGAGAATCTTAAAAGCAGCAAGAGAAAAACAGTTAGTTACCTACAAGGGAGTACCCATACAACTGTCAGCTGATTTCTCAACAGAAACTTTGCAGGCCAGAAGGGAGTGGCAAGAAATATTCAAAGTGATGAATAGCAAGAACCTACAACCAAGATTACTTTACCCAGCAAAGCTATCATTCAGAATTGATGGTCAGATAAAGAGCTTCACAGATAAGAAAAAGCTAAAGGAGTTCATCACCACCAAACCAGTATTATATGAAATGCTGAAAGGTATCCTTTAAGAAGAGGAAGAAGAAGAAAAAGGTAAAGATACAAATTATGAACAACAAATGCATATCTATCAACAAGTGAATCTAAAAATCAAGTGAATAAAAAATCTGATGAACAGAATAAACTGGTGAATATAATAGAATCAGGGGCATAGAAAGGGAGTGGACTGACAATTCTTGGGGGAAAGTGGTGTGGGGGTGTGGGAAGAGACTGGACAAAAATCGTACACCTATGGATGAGGACAGTGGGGGCAGGGGGGGTAAGGGCAGAGGGTGGAGTGGGAACCGGGTGGAGGGGAGCTATGGGGGAAAAAAAAAAGAGGATCAACTATAATAATCTGAACAATAAAGATTAAAAAAAAACAGACCCAGAGTCATAGAACATGAACAGACTATTGAACCGCAGAGTGAAGGCAGGGGAGGGAGGGTGGGAAGAAATCAACCAATGAACTTGTATGTGTATGTGCATAACCCATGGACACAGACAATGGGGCGGTGAGGGCCTGAGGGTAAGGGGAGGATGGGAGAGGGCTGGAAGAGGTTAATGGGTGAAAAAAAGGTGGAATTATGTAATACTTTCAACAATAAAGAAAAAAAGAAATCTAATGAGCAAAATAAACTCTTGAATAAAATAGAATCAGAGACATGGAATCATGGAACAAACTGATGAATATCAGAGGGAAGAGGGAGGGGGGATGGGAAGAGATTAACCAAAGATCTTACCTATGGACACAGACAGTAGGTTTCTTCACCAAATAAATTTTTTTAAAAAGATTAATGACAGCTCCAGAGGTGTTGTTGAAATAGCACTCAGTTATTATTATTAGACATCAGAGCCATAGCCTACCTGTAGGACCTAGACACCAACAGTGAGCAGTTCAGATGGAGACTTCCCAAGTGGAAGGCAGGGCTGCAGTCCCACAGGGAGGGGAAGAAAGAACCATGTGTACATCCATCCTAGTCCTCCCCAGCCTCAGTTGCTGTTGCTGCTTTGCTTGAGAACTCTGGGAGGATCTGAAGGGCAGAGTCAGGCAGGATTCCTCTACCTCTGCACTACTGACATTTTGAGCAGGACAAGTCTTTGTTGTGGGCTACTGTTGAGCATAGTAGGGTGTTTAGCAGCATTTCTGGCAATAGCACCCCCTCCTGCAGCTTAAACAGCCTAAAATTTTTCCACAAATGCCCAATGTCCCCTGGGGGGCACAATCACTGGTGTTGAGATTTACTGGGGTAGACATTCCACTAACCTCCTAAGTTAGATGGAGAGAGCAACTGGAGCACCACAATTCCCAGTCCCTAAACACCGGGCTTCACAAATTGAGAGAAGTCCCGTGAGCAGAAGCTGAGCTCCTCATACTCCCCTCTGGTTCCCCTTTCTACCCTCACCCCTTCCCAGCAGTAGAGATGCTTATATTCTCTTTAAAATCATTTCTTGTTGCCACTTGATATCACCCTGATTTGTAAATGAGGAAAATCTGTTAATTTCTTTATAATCTAGGAGTAAACCTTCCTAACTATGATTCTTTTTTAAAAAGATTAATATATTCAATTACATAGCAAAACCACCTTCACTACAAAGTCAAAAGACAGCACAGATAATGTGCCTTAGTGGTTAAGCATCAACCCGTGAATCAAGAGGTCACAGTTCAATTCCCAAATTGTGGGCTCAATCCTCATTACGGGGTGAGGCAGTTAATTAATGATTCTTATCACTGATGTTTCTATCTCTCTCCCTCTCCCTTCCTTTTTTCTGAAATCAATTTTTTTTAATATTAAAATTTATTTAAAAAATAGAGTCTGTTCTATGCTTCTTTGTCTCTGGATCTATTTTGTTTATAAGTCTATTTTGTTCATTGGATTTCACATATGAGTGAGATCATGTGATGTTTGTCTTTCTCTGACTGGCTTATTTTGCTTGGCATAATGTTCTCCAGGTCCCTCCCTGCTGTCTCAAAGGCACATTTGCTTTATTAAGAACAAGAAAATAAATGAATGAAAAGCAAACCAAGATGGCAGCATAGGTAAACGCCTGTACTTGCCACCTCCCACAACCACATCAAAATTACAACTAAAATATAGAACAACCATCATTTAGAACTGCCTGAAAGCTGACTGAATGGAAATCCTACACCTAGAGAAGTAAAGAAGAAAGCACATAGAGCCGAAACTGGTTTGGCTCAGTGGATAGAGCGTCGGCCTGCGGACTGAAGGGTCCCAGGTTTGGTTCCGGTCAGGGGCATGTGCCTGGGTTGCGGGCACATCCCCAGTGGGAGATGTGCAGGAGGCGGCTGATCGATGTTTCTCTCTCATCGATGTTTCTAACTCTCTATCTCTCTCCCTTCCTCTCTGTAAAAAATCAATAAAATATATTAAAAAAAAAAAGAAAGAAAGCACATAGAGACTAGTAGGAAGGGTGGAAGGGTGGAGAGGGTGGAGGGGTGGAGGTGTGAAACAAGCTGGTCTGACACCCACCTGTGCAAGGGGTCCCAGCCCCACATCAGAAACCCAGACCAGAGTTCCAGAGCTGGTAAGAGAAGTCCAGGCAACTACAAGCTGTAAAAAACAGCAGGGATTATGGCTGAAAGACAAGAAGTCTCCTGGAATCCCAGGTGTTTCCCTTAAAGGGCCAGTGAATAAACTTACATGATCCCAATTCTTCCAAGCTCCAGGTCCTCACAGCCAAATGGCCTGGAGGTCAACTCCTCCCAGGGATGCCAACAGCAATCAAGGCTCAAATGCAAGACAGTGCACACAGCCCACACAGGGTCACACCTAGACTTCCCAGCTCAGGTGACTGGGGAGGCTGAGCCACTGGGCCCTACAGGACACCTACTGCACAAGGTCACTTTACCAATTTCAGGAGACACAGCAGCTCTACTTAATACATAGAAATAAACACAGGGAAGCAGCCAAAATGTGGAGACAAAGAAACATCACAAATAAAAGAAATGGAAGCAAGCAAACTACTGGATACAGAGTTCAAAACCATGGTTTTAATGTTACTCAAAGATTTTCATGAGACTTTCAAGGATCTTAGTGAGAATGTTAAAGGCATAAAAAAGGACCAGTCAAAAATTAAGCATACACTAACTGAAATAAAGAATAATTTTCAGGGATTCAGCAGTAGAGTAGAGAAGTGCACATGGGTCATTTTCAAAGATAGACCACATATTGGGACACAGGCAAAGTCTCCTCAAATTCAAGAAGATAGAAATCATATCAAGCACCATCTCAGACCACAATGGCATAAAACTAGAAATCAACAACAATAAAAACAATTTAAAAAAATCAAACACCTGGAGGCTAAATAGCATGTTATTAAACAATGACTGGGTTACCAGAGAGATCAAAGAAGAAATAAAAAGCATCATGGCCACAAATGACAATGAAAACACAGCAATCCAAAATCTATGGGACACAGTGAAAGCAGTCTTGAGAGGGGTAAGTTCATAGCTCTACAGGCCTGCCTCAAAAAACAAGAAACAATAGTAATAAATTATCTAACCCTACAAGTCAAAGAGTTAGAAAGAGAGCAACAAGAAAAGCCCAGCGTAAGCAGAAGAATGGAAATAATAAAGATCAGAGCGGAGATAAACGACATAGAGACCAAAAAAACAATACAAAAGATCAACAAAACCAAGAGCTGGTTCTTTGAAAGGATAAACAAGATTGATGAACCTCTTCATTCTGGCCCTCATCTTGTACCTGCATTTTCCCTCGTCTCCCAGCCTCCTCCAATCCTCTCCCTTTTTTTTTACTCGGGGGACCCTTGCACTGTAATCCATTCTTCCAAGTGCTTCCAGAGTGATCTTCCTAAATTGCAAGAATGTGTTCACATTCTCTTATCCCTTTCACCTGCAGAATGCAACTTAACTTTTAATATGGTGCCCAAAGTATTCATAATTATCCCTGTCCACCTCCCCAGTCTTATTTTCAATGAGTATCCCTTGAATCTTAGTATCTGGTCATTATGAACTCCTTGTAGTCTCAAATGGGCTCCAAATAAGTGTCTATAGCATCTATACCTTTGTTTATGCTGATCCCACTGAGGAAAATGCCTTCACTCACCTTCAACTCAGTGAACTCATCCTTATTTTCCAGCACTCACCAGAGCATTCTCTTTCCTCCATAATGCATATTTGGTCTTTTCTCCCATCCATCAGATAACACTAAACATTTTCTTCTTTGTATTTTCTCTACAACCTGTAAATGGTTCTTTAACATCTACAAGAATGTCTGTCACATGTATTTTTTTACCCAAGAGTCTCCCAGAGAGAAACTGTTGTCCTTCTTAAGGACATGGATTCTGTCCCATATGTCTTTGTACACCTAGCACCTAGCATAGTGCCTGACAGAGTAGAAGCCTGCAGATGTCTGATGCATAGATGAAAGGGAGAAAAAAAGAAAGAAATAGGGAAGAAGGGATGGAGGAAGAGGGGTGGGGAAGAAAAATAGGAATAAGGCTGGGGTGGTGAATACACTCTAGATGTGAGAGGCTCTCGTTTTGTGCTGAAGAGTTGAACTTTATCTACCAAGATTAAAGAAAAGGTTGTGTGTATAATGATTTGAAGAAAAATCAGGGAGGAAGCTTCTGTGGTGGAACAAACAGGAGTCTGTAGTACCCGCAGGGAGGAAGGGGAAGGGGATGAAGAGTCACCAAGCCCTTACCTTCCTTGCAGACAGCTCAGCTAACACTGCCAGTCCACCACAGCCATGCCCTGAGCTCTACTGGAAGACACTGTCTTGGGCATATCGGAAACCTGAGAAGGAACAAGGCTTTCACCAGTTCCTCTGTGAGGACAGCATTGCCATAGAAGACCCTAGATAAAATGCAACTGGGCTCCAGAGAAAGGGCCCCTAGGAAATTATCAATCCCCTCAGTTACAGGCAACCAAATCCATTTATCAGATTCCTTAGCTGTCCCCATACTAAGAGCATTGTCCCAAGGGACTCAGAGAAGCTAAATTTTTATATGAAAGGAGACAGGTCAAGAAAGATCCAGGCAAGAGGCACTGCTCAGATTCCAAGCCCAGGGAACCTTGAGCACCCATGAGACACTATGTATCTGGAGGATGTGAAAAGTGGTGCTCATAAGAAAAAGGAGGTAAAAGGCAGTGAGGGTCATGTTAACAGTTCTGCTGGGGCCATCCCAGTCCATTTCAGGTTTCCTTGCTCTTGTTGGACCCTGGAAAAGTACATATCCCTTTAGGGATATAGTCATCATTTAGTCCTGTACTTGTACTAGAGTAGGAAGCCTGTGAAAATCTACAGTATAAGATCTGAAAGTCAAGCCAGAGTGGAAGAGAGGAGAAGAGAGACAGACTCACCAGGAGCAACATGGTTCTGAGCTCCAGGTAGAACACATTGTCCTGGTAGAACTCCTCCAAGCCCTGGAAGATGTAGTCTCTAAACACTGGTGCATAGTTAATAAGACCAGAGATCATAAAAAAAGGTGGTTTCAAACTTAGACCAGACAATATCTTGATTTGTAATAAGTCACCTTGGGGTTCTTGGTCATCAGAGTGAAATTCCTTGGGAGGCTATCCAGAACACAAAGGAGGTGAGCTGAGGAGGCATGTTTTAGGCCATTGCCTTCCAGCACCTGCAGGAATCCTATCCACCTTGCCTCTCCCACCCAGTAAAAACTGGGATGCATCATAGTGAGCAGTGATGAGAGGTCAAAGGAAGCATCTGGCTCTGATGGAGGCCTCCACACTAAGACCTGCTTTGTACACTGCAGGAGACAGCTCAAGCGGGAAGTTCCCACCAGTCAGGCTCTCTTGTTCCCCTCTGCATACTGCCAATCTGACTCCGCTGTAGTTACATCCTAGACCGAGTTCTCTTTGCAGGGTTTTATGCACTGAATTGCATCCCACTAAATTCATATATTGAAACCCTAACCCCCAGTGTGACTCTATTTGGAGATAGGGACTTTAAGGAGGTAATCAAAAGTTAAATGAAATCATAAAGGTGAGACCAATATCAAATAAGATTGTTATAAGAGACACTAGGCATGCATGTGCATATAGAAAAGGCCATATGAGGCCCTACCTGGCTTGGCTCAGTGAATAGAGATTCGGCCTGCAGACCAAAGGATCCCAGGTTCTATTCTGGCCAAGGGCATGTACCTTGGTTGCAGACTCCTCCCCAGCCTGGGCCCTGATGGGGGCTTGTGCAGGAGGCAACCAATCGATGTGTTTCTGTCACATTGATGTTTCTCTCTGTCTTTCCCTCTCTCTTCCACTCTCCCTAAAAATCAATGGAAAAGTATCCTCAGGTGAGGATTAACAAAAAACAAACAAACAAAAAGGCCACATAAGGATACAGCGAGAAGGTGGTCATCTTCAAGATAAGGAGAGTCCTCAGGAGAAACCAAACCTGTTCACACTTGATTTTGTACTTCTACTTTCCAGATCAGTGAGAAAACAAAAAGAATAAAGGTTAATTAAAGAGTTTTTTTATTTGTTTTTATTGATTTTTAGAGAGGAAGGGAGCGGGATAGAGAGACAGAAACACTGATGAGAGAGGAACATCATTGATCAGCTGCCTCCTGAACGCCCACTAATGGGGATCAGGCCCACAACCAGGGCATTTATCTTGACCAGGGATCGAACCATGACCTCTTGGTTCCTAGGTCAATGCTCAACCACTGAGCCACAGCAGGCAGACCGAATTTCTATTGTTTGAGTCACCCAGTTTGTTGTATTCTGTTATGGTAGCCCTAGCCTACAGGGGGTTCATTGGAAATAACCCTGGATGGCCAGGTTTACATCCTTGATTAGTGTGGATGAAAAAGGGGCTACCCACATACAAAACCTGACAAGCTCAGGGGAGGCCTTCATGGTGACCTTACAGACTCAGAGACCTAAAATAACCACATAGGATGGTCTGAAATTAAAACTTTCTAACTAAAACTGAGTCATGGCAGCTGGTTGTTAAACACGTTCATTCTTAAAAATTAAATTATATAATCTTAAAAGTGAATAAATACATTAAAACCAAAGGTAATACATACTCTAAATTCATCACTCCTCAATTATTTACTACACTTTACTGTTCTGACTCTTGGCATTATTTATATCTTTTGGGTCTTTCTGGTAGAATATAATAGTGTATGACTGCATGTTTCTCCTCAGCTCTGCATTTAGTGGCATCACATTAGCAGCTGAAATCAGCCATGGATGGAAAATTTATGCCACAGAAATTGGCCGATAGTATAAATCAGAGTTTTGTTTTCTTTGATTGAGAGTCAGTTGTTAAACATTTATTGGCACAACACTGACCACATTGGTGGTGGTGGGCTTGTCAGAATGTGTTATATTATGCAGATGAAAATCTATTTAAACAGACTTGATGTAGATATTTTCAAAGATGGAAGAATTGTCCCTGTCAACTATTTTAGTTGATTCAATTGTCATCATTGCAAAGTTTTCAGTCCCCACATGGATTGCTGGATATAATATGTCATGCCCTGTCCCTGTCCCCTCCCTTTGTAGCCTTTGTTACCTTAAGGACTCTAGTTTTCCATTTATATGTTTAAGTACCAATCTTACTGGCTTAAAAATGTAAGCTTTTAACACTGCTCTCTCTGTTCCGTATCCTTCAGATGAAAAGTGGAGTTGGGTTGCGGCAGAGGAGAGATATTCAGAAGGGGAATATTGGAGTAATGACTGCAGTGGGAGAAGAGGGAACCTATTTCCCGGCCACAGGCGCTGGCGCCCTGGACCACAGGGCTGGCAGCTTCTCCAGGTGGCTGCAGCCTGGGACATTGGGGCGGGTGGCTTGTCAGTCTCCTGGGCCGCAGCCAGCCGCAGGTGCTGGAGCCGGACTTCTCTGTCTCCCCTGACTTCTGTGTCTCCAACAGGCCTGAAGCAGCTAGAGCCGGGATGCTTGTATGGTAGCTGTGGCTGCGACGCAAGTATCCCGGCTCTGGCCTCCACCATCTTTGTTGGGTTAATTTGCATATCACTCCTGATTGGCTGGTGGGCGTGGCTTGTGGGCATCATGAAGGGATGGTTAATTTGCATGCGTCTCTTTTATTAGTGTAGATAATATTACCATATAAGTCATTAGGAAATTGCTCCATCATATTTTCAAGCTGGTTCATCCATCAGCTGGACTGTCATTGCTCTAGGAGCTTGGAACTTTTATTTGTTCTGGTATTATTGAGCATCTAGACAAATTTCATTGATGTAACAACAGTATTGCTGTTAATACCTTTTGCTGATTAAATTAGATTTTAAATGTACCAGGAACTTCCTATGGACAGAAAAGGTGTTGAATGCCTTTGTGAAGCAAAATATCCTATAAGGTTAAAAGAAAAAGCCTCTTGCCTGGCTTGCATGGCTCAGTGGCTGAGCATCAACCCATGTACCAGGAGGTCACAGTTTGATTCCTGGTCAGGGCACATGCCTGGGGTTTCTGGCTGGCAATCCCCAGTAGGGGGCACGAGGGAGGCAGCAGATGGATGATTCTCTCTCATCATTGATGTTTCTATCTCTCTCTCCCGGTCTCCTGGTAGAACTCCTGAGGGGACACTTTGCATATTACCCTTGTATATAGAGAGACTAGAGGCCTGATGCATGAAATTCATGCAAGGGGCTTAGCCCTCGCAGCCACAGCGGCTGCCTTGGCCCTCGCAGCCCCAGCTTCATCCAGAAGGTCATCTGGAAAGACGTCTGGAAGGTTGTTCGGCTGTCTGGTCTAATTAGCATATTACTAAACTATTTTATTATTATAGACTAGAGGCCCAGCGCACTGGGGCTTCCTCAGCTGCTAGCTCTCCATTGAGACCCCAAGCCTTTAAATGAAGCCTTGCTATCCCAAACTGCATGAAATGATGTAATGAGCCTGAGTCTCCGCCCCTGCTCCTACCCCAGTTCTCTCAACCTGATCCCCAATGCCCACCCATTACTTCCCATTGGAGTTTCTGGTCTGCAGGTTTTGCCATTTGGGGCCCCATACTTGTCCTTCAGACCTGACACCAATTTTGACCTCGTTGCTCCTCAAGGTAGTGTATGCACTGTTCTTCTTGCTCCATTTTAGCACTTCGCCTTGACACTGGCCCCCTGACAGGTGTCCCTGCTGTATGAACTTTGGCATGTCAACCTCTCTAAACCTTACATTCTCCATCAACTGGGGATGTTACTCCAACCTCACAGTTTTTAATTTTTTAATCTCTATTTATAACATTAAACAAAAAAGATGAAGTCCTTATAAGCTGCAACCTACTATTTATGTGTGCAAGATGATAATTATTTTACTATTCATAGAAATGTGTTTATATTATAGAAATATGCTACTAGAAATGTGTTCATCCAGGATGCTATTTCATGTATCCTATTTAGTAACTTAGCCCCTGGAAAAACCCTAGAAGAAAGAGGTATGAGGGATGATATGAAGGGAAAACTAGGGTCCTATGGGACTAGTATACTATCTTACGGATGGACACTTTTCCAACTTTGTCAGGGAAGGCCAGTAATATCCAGGGCCCACTTCCTTTTCTCTCTCTCTCTCTCTCTCTCTCTCTCTCTCTCTCTCTCTCTCTCTCAGCTGAGTCCCCTCAGAAGTAGGGTTTTTGGTTTCCAAAATGAACCAGCAGCCACCTTTGAACACCCCCTTTCCTAGTTCGCTAGCAAAAACAAGGCTTAGAGTAGCTGAGTAGCATTCTCTCTGCTCTGTTTAGACCAATAGCAGCTCCAAGTGTAGTTTCCCCCCTACTTCTCAGGACCCCCAAAATCTTCCTTCCAAACCTCTATCTTTTGGCATCTTCTTCAGGATATTAAACACCTCACTTTTCTCAATGAGATTCTTTGCCTAGAAAAAGTGCATGCTGGGTCAGAACTTTTGGGACTTCATGGCCTGCTTCATCTCAGCCTTTTTGAGGATCATGAGCCTCTTATTAGCCATCTCTTCTTCTTTCTTCAGCACCAGCTCCCTCCTTCCCGCCCCACCCCCCACCAACTGCATTATTTTCTCCTTCATTACCATCTTCTTTTGTTCCTCATCTATGGATATAGCTGAGCAGAAAAAGGACATCACCACCACCAAAAGCAGAGGGAGGAGAGCTGGCTGCCCAGATGGGCCCCCCACCAACACTGGGATGCCTGGAAGAGGAAATTGCTCAGATGAATTCAATGGGTCTAAAAAGGGTACTGGGTAAGTGAAAATCTACAGATTTAAGTGTTGATGTTCCTTCTCACACCTGTTCTCAGATTAATAGGAGGCAGCATATTGAAGGATTAGTCTCTGAGACTCCAGAGAAAAGACCTCCAGGTACAGACAATGAGGGGCTTCCCAAACAAAAAGTTACCATGAGGCCTCCTTATAATGGAACTTTTCCATCAGCAAGCCCTGCTCACACACAGAGCAAGACATTGCAATCATATTTTTAGTGTTCCACTTTTAAACATAACCAAAGAGCAAAGTATCACAAGGCATATGAAGAAAGGCTCTAACGTGATAAAAATAAATAAATAAATAAATAAAGATAACACACAGAGAGAAGCAACTAAAGGGAAATGGAGGTAAAGCAGGAAATAAAAGAAAAAGTCAAAAGAATTATAATTAATATTAATTAATATTCTTACAGAGATAAGAAAAGATATTGTGTAGCCCGGCCGGTGTGGCTCAGTGGTTGAGTGTTGACCCATGAACCAAGAGGTCCCCAATTCAATTTGGTCGGGGCACATGTCTGGGTTGTGGGCTGGATCCACAGTAGGGAGTGTGCAGGAGGCAGCCAATTGATGTCTCTCTCTCTCATCCATGTTTCATCTCTCTATCCCTCTCCCTTCTTCTTTCTCTAAAATTAATAAAAACATATTTATTTTAAAAAGAGAAAAAATGGGGAGTAATGGGGGGGATAAAGACACATATGCAATACCTTAATCAATAAAGAAAAAAAAGGTATCGTGTCCATAAAATAGGAACAAAAAATGAACTAAATGAGAATGAGCTTTTAGAAATTAAAATATAAAAGCTAAAGTTTTAAAAATTTACTAGCAATATTAAAAAGAAGGAATTGAAGAGAATCTTTTAGATAGTAGGATAAAATAGGAGAGAAGAAAATGAGATAGTTATTAGTTCAGAAAGTCCAACATCTAAAGAACAGATATTTCAGAAGGAAAAAAAAAGAAATTAAATAAATAATACAAGAAATTGTCCCATATGCCACCTGCACATGCTCATACTCTGTTCAGGGTCCCAGCCTAGCCCTTACCAAGATACTGATCTTGGTTTGGGGGAGAGTCTGAAACCTCAAACTAATAGAACTTTCTTCTCTAGTAGATGTAGTCCTTCCTTAATTTCAACTCATTAAAAAATGCTTTATAGTTTGAGGCAGTGGAAGGAAGGCTGGAATCAAATATTTTGATAAAAAAGATGGCAATGTAATGGCCCAGTTGTGGCAGTTTTCTTAAAGTAACTTGTAAAGCATTTACCATATTCTTAATTAGCACTCTTTGCAGAAACTTGTGCACATATATCCTGCTTTCAGAATAGTTTTGCAAATTGTACAAAAATTTAAAAGGTGAAAGCTTTTTAATAAATAAGTTGCATTTATAAATTTAAAAGGGTGGGGGGAGGAATTGTCCCAGGACTGAAGGCCTGTGTCTCTAGATTGATAAGACTCATTGAGTATCTAGCACAGCACAATCAATTACTCAACAGCAACACCAAAGGTACATCATCTTAATATTTCAGAATATTAGCATTAAAACGATTCTAATAGCTTCCAGGGAGCAACTAGTTCAGGTTAGCAGTGAGCAGGGACTTAAGGGTAGAAGGAAAGAAACACATTTATTGAATCCCTGCCAGGCACTATGGTTAGCAGGTTTCACATGGGTTATCTATTTGAGTTACATTTAATAATTATTTCTACGTCCATGAAAGTATGATAGGTTATACAAGAAAGAATAAAAACTGTAAATTAGGAGAGCTCAGACACAGTCCCAAATTAGTATGTCTTTGTGAGACCTTGGGCAAATCACTTAATGTCTATTGGTCTCAGTTTTCTCACATGTAAAAAGGGTGAAATGGACTTCATCAGTCATTTTCAACGTGTGATAAATGTGCCATCAGTGATACAAAACATCACTGTTTAGGGTGAATTAAAAAAAATTTAAAGCAAGTTAATTTAAAGAGACATATAAGTAAATTGAGGCACAGGGTTATGACAAAAATGAAAATTTTGGTAGTCATTGAAATACATTATGTCCAAGATTCTTTCCAGGGCTAGCATTCAATTACTCTATGGTATATCAGACACCAGAGGAAATTTTAAGAAAGAAACAGATGACAATTTACTCTCACAGTCATAGTAGGGGTTATACCCTCGAATTAAACAGCTGGACTTTTGAAGAACCGCTTCAATTTTATCAAGTCCTTGAATCTCTCCTCAGACAACAGTGTTTGCCTGCAACTGAAAGCTCTAGGGCAAACGGACAATGACATTCACATCACCATTCCATCCACCCCATGCTGCATCCTCCACTCAATGGCCCCAGCCCCTTGTCTCTCTCTCCCTAGTGACACAATACAGAGGCCACCTGGTTCCAAAATCTCTACCTCCATTCTCTCTAAGGTCCCCAAAAGTTTTCATGGGTACTTTTCCGGGACTGCCAAACAAAATTTATCTAATACTGGTCAGGACCAACTTGGTCTAGCATAAGGGGAAAAAATCCCTTATTGTTCTATTTACTTCATCTTCTCTCTCTCTCTCTCTCTCTCTCTCTCTCTCTCTCTCTCTAAAATGTTTCTTTACTTTGAAAAGAGAATGGATGAAAACTATAAAAACAGACCTTGTTCAGTGGTTAGAGCGTCAGGCCTCTCACCAAAGGGTCTCAGGTTTGATTTCTGGTCAAGGGCACATACCTGAGTTACAGGTATGATCCTTTGCCTCTGTCCATGTGTGTGCAGGAGGCAACCAATCAATGTGTCTCTCTCACACTGATGTTTCTCTCTCTCTCTCTCTCTCTCTCTCTCTCCCTCTCCCTCTCCCTCTCCCTCTCCCTCTCCCTCTCTCTCTCCCTCCCTCCCTCCCTCTCTCTTTAAAAATCAGTGGAAAAAATATCCTCAGGTAAGGATTAACACAACAAAAAAACTATAAAAACACTTTGTTTCCAGACTAAGAAAAAAGAAATACATCATGTACATCTGTGATACTGAGTAAATGTCTTTGGGCCCACAACTATTTTCAAAACCCTGTTGTGGAGAAAGTCTATGTTCTTCTCCCACCGAAAGGTGAGGGGTGGGGAAGGCCACCACCAGGTTAACAAAGACTAAGGGCCCAACTTCCCAGTTACTTACAGTAACCTCACAAGCCCAGTACTCCACCCACGTCCCACCCCAGGAGACCCCAGTTACCTCAGAGCAGCTCCAGAAACTGTAGACTGTTTGCTTAGTCCCTTCAACAGCTGTGTCAGAAGCAGGAGAAAACTC